AATGCCCGACTGCACGGGATCTCAGCCCCTCTGCTTCCTGGCCACGTGCCTTTAGATAACTCACCCTTCCTGGTCTCAGTTTCCTCATCTGTGTAATAGACATAATGACAGCACCCACCCCGAGGGTTGCTTTGAGAATTAAATCAGAAAAAGCACGCAAAGGGTTCTGGGTCTGGGGCTCATACTAGGCACTCAATAAATGAGCTGTTACTGCTGCTACGGTGGTGGTTATTATTATTTGCTCCCAAACCACCAAAGAAATACGAGGTTGAGGAGAGTCAGTCACTAGCAGGAAAACACTGCCTGCTTGCTGGCCGCTGAGACAGTGGCTCGTGTGAGGTAAACTGGGCTTCCGCCGGCCACCACTCTCTTCCCAGAGCCGAGAAAAAGCCTGGGGCTTTGGAGGCACATGTTAAATGCATGTTAAGTGAATGAACAAGCAGATAAATGAATCAGGAAGGGATAAAAAAGCAAATGTCTTAAGAGCTACTGCTCTATCCCGAAGAGAGTATCTCGGAGACCACCGGCACGGGCTCGCAGCTACCAAACGCTGCCGAGAGCGCACAGAGTAGGGCTCGCCTAGGTCTGCTGGCTGCATGGGGGCGGTACCCAACTGTTCGTAGGAGCGCAGGGCCGGCACCTAAGGGGATGGTGCAGCTCCCACTACAGACTCTGAGTTCACATTGCAACCTCAAGTACTCAGGCTACGGGCTTGCTCCAGAAAGGGCTTTAGAGAACAGACTTCTCAACAGTCTAAAACAACAGAGTGAAAGACTACGGGAGAAATAAGGAACTGGCTACTGGACAGCACTGAGGGGTCAGATCGACATCGTACCACCTGAATATGTGGTTTAAGATACCTCCCCTTACATCCATCATCTGCGTGGAGAACTATAAAACCAACGACCCCGACAGAGGCAAACCCCCAGACAGTTTGTCATTTTATCAGTGTTCTCCGAATTCAGCCACTCGGTGCCCCTTTTGGAACTGTTTTATCCTTGGCACCTCCTGTACCATTATTAACTTAATCCCTGTGTTTAAATCAACTCACTGAAAAAGAAAAATTAAATGAAGTTATTTGTTAAAGAAATTTCAACCACTGTGTTAAACGAGAAACTGGTACTGCCTGCCCTAAATAATATGAGGGAACTGTAAAAATAAACACTTGGAAACAAAATACTGTAATGAAAATGAGGCTAACCACCACTGCTTTCCTCAGCTCTGGCTCTGAGGGCTGCTCTCCCTGTTAGAAAGATGCTGGCATGTGATGGCAAAAAAATCTGCTGGTCCATAGCGAAGGCTTCCCCCTTCAGGCATTTTGAAAGTCTGAGAAAGATGAGGGAATAAAAAGAAGGGAGTTTCTCACGATGTGCGTCCATGCTTCTGGAGCCACGTTCACGCACCACGTAAAATCACTGCAGGTTTGCGAAACAGCAGAACCTTCTTCTCGAGCTCTGACTGTTCAGCCCCCTTGCAGGACTCGAGAGCGGACCTTACTTGTTTCCGGGTGCAATTAAAATACACTTTTCCTCGAATCTGGGAGGCACTGCAAAAATATCTGTAATCAGGATGCAGCTTACAATCGGGTGGCTTTTATGAGCCACTTTTACTGCTGCTTAGTACTGTCTTTCCCTTTTTATCTGGGAGGCTGTTATGAGATTGATGACGCATCTCAAAATGAGGGTGACTCAGAGTCAAGAAAATACGGTACACCTTCACTGGGCCAATATAAATGAGCCTCCCGTCTGGACGCCAAGACAACACAATAGCCTTCCGGCCTCCCCATTGTGTTCATCTGATAAAGACATTACAATAGCAAGATATTATGATCTATAACCCTCCTCTGGAACACTCACACATTCTTGGCCTTGAACGCCTGAGCAAAATGCTGCACGCTATGGAGCAGAGCGAGGTCCAGGGCCATTGCTTCTACCTTGGCTTTATGCTGGAATGAGAGAAAATAAAAAGAAATGATAAATAACAGCAAGTTTAGTTCATGGTATCAAGTTACAGTAAATGTGTTATGGAACATGTCGGAATTCCCCTGTTTAATATTAGACGCCCAGAGAGAATATAAATCGTCGGAATGAATGGAAGAAAGGGGCGTTTTACTGCCAAGCTGAGGGAGGATGGGAGGCTGGGACTCTGCTGAAACTCCATGCTGGGGGGTTGTGCTGTCTGACTCAGCGCACGCAACAGGGTCCTAAGGGTCCTCGGGCTCACATAGCTCCTCTCCATCTGCCTCCTAAAAAAACTGTAATGACGGGGCAACACCAGGGCAAAGCCTGGCTCCTTTAACAACTCTGGAGACCACATGCTAATCTCAAAAGCTGCCCTCCGGTTCTGAAATGATTCCACCAAGCCTGCATGAAAAATGAGAGACAATTCATGTACAGAAAGTACAAACGCAGGCAAAACTGGCTTATATCAACGGAGCCTGACTGCTCAACACCTCCCTGTGAACCCTATAGATGGGCAGGGCACATATGGATGGTAATAATGATGCTATTAATGAGACCATTAATGTCTACGCTGAGCCGATGGTGGGTGGGCATTTACAGGCATCATCTCATTTCATCCTCAGGACAACTGAAGGATACATTTGTAGTTTGCCTGTTTTACAGTGTGGCATCTTATAAGAGATTGCAGAGCTAAGAAGGGTGGACGGCAAGACTTCAAGTCAGTCTGACACTGGCTGGAGCCCAAGCTCCCTCCTGGAGAGACACCAAAAGGACTGCAGTGGTCAGGATTTGAAGCCACCCTGTTCCACTGCAGGGCCTCCTAGCACACTTCTGGAAAGATCAGGATTGCCTTGTATTTAAAGAGCCCTCCCAATTTTTGAGTCTCGCTGGACTTTGGAGTGTGAGCTGAAACGCTATCACTTCTTAGACGTCCCTCCGCTAAAGGACAGACTGCCAGGCCACCTGCCTGTTCAGGTAAGCAGATCCCCATAAAACGAATGGTGAGCTTGGGAATTCTTGTCTAGACTGCGATGTTAAAGTAAGACTACGGAGACTAACACAATACTCGAATATTATGAAGGGGGATGCAAACGGCACTGCTGGGGCCATCCTCCACCCGCATGGATGCAAACTGTGCTGAGAAGCTTCGTGTGTCTACGGCAGTTCACCTCTGCCGCCTAGGTCCTGGGCTCCGACCCAAGTCCCAGGCCTTGAACAATACATATCAGGCAGAGGCAGCAGGAAAGCACACTGACTTTGGGCCATGTAACCTTTCTGAGCCTCAGTTCCCTCAGCTGTAAATGTGAATATTATCTACTCTCAGAGTTGTGAGATTAAGTACAAAGCATCTAACATCCTGCCTTGAAGAGACAAAGTATTTCATCAGTTTAACCAGGAGGAGATAAGATGCCCGTGGTGACAAATTCTTCCCCTGAGGCCACTGTGTAGTAAACCGTGGTTTGGGTGGGCAACAGTGCAGCAAGGTGGATGAAACGATGTTGATGACAAGCACCGGTGCCCCCCGAAGACCACATCGGACCAGATCACTGTTGGCTCCCGGAGGATCCAGGTCCTGCCTGCTAACAGAGCCCAGTTTTAGGGAAAGGGCGTAGAGAGGGATTCAATGACCTCCCCAAACCCCAAGGGCTTATCAGTGGCAAAGGCAAGTTGGCCAAAGAAGATTTAAATTCCTCAGGTAACAGCAGCAGATGCTCAAACCTGCAGATTTTGGAAGAAGTGTTTAACCTGATGCAGGAAAAGGCGAAGTGCCAACGTATGGGTTTTGTTAGGGAAATATTGCACCTGGAGGGTCCAGGTAAGGCAAGGCCACGCCCCTCATCCTAGAGGGAGGGAAACGGCCCCCAGGAGAAGAGGATGCACTTGAGCGATGCTGCGCCCCATGCAGAGGGCTTGGGTCTCCAGATGGGGAGCAAACCCTCCCCTGCTTTCTGTCTGCATGATGGATATTTATCTGTGGCTAAAACCTCTTCTGAGTGGGAAGTCTGCAAGTGGCTAACTTTTCTTCCCCATAGATTCTTATGCCTCCTAAATGCTCAACTACCAATCTGATGTTCCGAGTGAGCGAGTCAAGTGGCCTTTCACCCTCATCCTGCCCGCTCCGGCCCCAGCCTCTCCCGGCACAGAGCACGGCACACACCGCCGACACAGAATCTTACAGAACTTTGAATGGATCACAAGAGGAAAGTCAACTATTTCATCTATTAAGGAAGGGGTGGTAAAGGCATTGCTCCTCTCAGCCGAGCCCCCCGATGGAAACCCCAAGGGATACGCTGGCTACATATTAGAAAAATGGATGTTCATTCTTCCCCCATAAAACAGGGAGAACATTCCCAGATGGTGACCCCAAAGCAATATTTCCAATGAAAATGATGGCACAGCCAAATGGGCCAGTACATTCTTCTAAATGTGCAACTTACACGTGGTAAACTGTCTTTTGGTCCTCCCCCTTCACTTGAAGATAAAGCACAGGGCTGCCACTACCAATAAGAACAAAATCAGACCATACACATCCAGGGGGAACAAGGGGTCACAAGCCATCAAGCAGTTCAACAGACTAATCCACAGGCTGTGTGTTACTAGGCTCCTGGGGACAGTGATTCACGTCCACACGCAATTACTCAGGTAATTCTCCTGCCCTCGGTATCAGGTTTCCTGTTTCTGCTACTGACCCTGAGAAATGCAGAGAAACTGTGTGTGCAATTCAGTTAAGTCCACTGAAGGAAAAACACAGCTTTCAGAATTAAGGTGTGTGTATGCGTTGATGGGTGTGGGTTGGGGGGTTTGCTCTTCTGATTGGCTGACAAACTTAACGTGACAGAAATGTTTATCGTGGGACATGCTCTAAATGAGAAGGCAGGGGCTGACAGACTGCAAACAGAAAGCATTTTTGACGGATAAACTGCTGATTGCTAGGTGAAAGCAAGAGGCCCCATCTGCCAATGTGAGCTTTCCCGCTGAGTCTGACTATGAACCTGGGACTGACCACAGTTCACCTTCTTGGTATAACTCACTTTTTCTGCTGTTGTTGTCGTTAACTTTAGTTTGGAACGAATTATAGACTCACAGGAAGTGGCAAAAATAGTACTGAGAGTGCCCACGTACCCGTCTCCTAGCATCCGCCAAAGGGGGCATCTTATCCAAGTATAGCACATTATCAAAATTAGAAAATCGACACTGTCACAGTGTAATTTATTAGACCACAGACATTACTTGGATTTCACCAGTTCCGGGATGCACTCAGTTCCTTTTACTTGGAATATCTGTGTGTATAATTCTACAACATTTTATCACGTGCACAGATTCAAGATACAAAACTATTCCATCACCGCTGAAGAACCGCTGAGTTTTTTATTAAGATGTTAAATCTGCGTATGCCGCTCAGGATGTGAAAAGTTCAGGCCTGTTTGGCCAGAGTGTGCTCTCTGGATTGGCAACAGACGCCCACATACAAAGTCCTAGCTTAAAACGCTTTTGTAGCTTGGAATGGCCAACAAGATATGCTCCTAACTCCTTAGTGTGGCTCACACAAGTGCCTCTGTATTGATCAGGATGAGCTTCAGTAAGGAACAGCCCCCAAACCTCAATGTCTTAAGACAAAAGACGATTATTACTTGCTCACGCTTCATGCCCATCTCATGTCAGTGGGGTCCTGTTTGTTATCGCTGGCCAGGGGCCCCATCAGGTGGAGCCTCCACCCTCTGTAACATCACCAGCCTCTACAGTGCAGGGAAGAGAATGTGACAAGGTGCAGGTGGAATGTCACAGGCTTCCACCCAGTGGTGACACGTGTCACTTGTGCTCACGTTTTGTTGGCAGAGCAAGTGTTGTGGCTGTGCTTAGCTTCGAAAAGGTGCAACCCTCCATGTGCCCAGCGAGAACAGAAATGCCAACATATGCACAATGAATAACAGTAACGACTAACACTCAGCCCATGATTTTGCCCCATCTACCGCTCTAGGCTCATTTCAGGCCACTTCCTGCTTCATACTTTCCATTAGTGATAGAAAAATTTAGAAATGACAGATGAACATGGACCAAAAAAAGCATCTATAAACCCACCACCCCAATATTAACTGTTAGCTTTCCATAGGTCCCTCCCCTCTTCCCTTCCTCTCTGCCTATCCATCTATCCAGCGAGCCGGCCAACCGTCCATCCACTTAGCTTTGGTTAACAGAAACAACTTCTTGCCAGAACTTTGAATCTTAAAATGCTACAAAATGCCTCTCTCAACCCTTCCCCAAATCCTCACCCTTTTCTTTAATCACACCAGTACACAAATTTATCATCTCAGGCAAAACAGGAATGTAAATTTATTTTAAATTATGAATACAGATGCTGGCACCCATCGTTTTCAAAGAGAACTGCACAGGTGGCATTCCACACACGAAGCATCAGGCAACGTCTAAGTAGTTGAGGAGCCCACCTGCTCCCAACACCCCAGGCTCAGCCAGAAAGACACAGTAATGAAGCAACCCACACATTCTTCTTCCATTTCCCTGGAGGTCAGGGGATGCTCGGCGGCAGCACAGTCCACCGACACTCTCAACAGACCATGTCTTCTTGGTTTGCTCTTCATTAAGTCCAGAAAACCTGGCTTAGTGATTCAGGAGTCTGCAAGTGCGGAATCAAAGCGGTTCCTGCTGTTGTTATGTAACAGTGATCTCTCATACCATTTTACGACTATAAATTAGCCAAGTATGACTCAGATGTGATACTGCCTGAAACCAAAGGAACCATACAGGGACTGTGCGGTATTTAAAGGGAGAAGTGGGAAGATGTTATCATCCACGGGAGACGGCAGAGTTGGGCTGACCCGGAGCCACAGACCAGCATGACCACAGTGCTGACAGTGCGACTTCAGGGGAGCTGTGTGACTGCTCGGGGCCTTAGCACCAACGCCAAAATGTGTGTTTGCCTCGCATGATTAGGGTAAAGATGAGGTATGATGTACATAAGATATGGGGCACATAAATAATAATAATTATTTGTAAGGCCACTGCTAAAATGTGAAGTCCATTGGTTTTTTTTCAATCATAAAGCATATTAGCAATTGCAGTCTCCCTTCTTTATTTCACAGATTTACCTGAAGTATAGCTCAAAGTATGAACAGCAGCTCTGTGATGGGGGATGGATGACACATGACCCCAGAGCAGGAGGAAGGAGGCTCACTGAATCCCCCAGAGGCCAAGGTACCCCACTTTCCAAACTCAGTAAGTGTTGTGAACCTGAAAGGTGTTAAGGCCATGGTGAAGGCCACAGACTCAAGTTGGACCTCCTGGGTCTAAATCCCACTTCTAGCACTTACCAACTGGGGAAGTTACTTCTTGTGCAATCAGTTTTCTCTTCTGTAAAATGGAAATAAGAGCACCTGCTTTATCAGGAAATGAGGTGATATATGTAAAATCCTTAGAATAGCGCCTGACACCTGAGAAGTATTCTATAACTGTTACCAAGGAACAGTATTACTCTGTTTTTGTTGTTGTCTTTAGCATTGCTGTCAACAACATCATAGTCATCATCACCATCATCACCATCATCATCACCATCTGCACTGAACTCCTTCACTCTTCACTGAGACAGGTGAACGGGGCCCAACTGGCCAATGGCAGCAATCTGAGAACCCTGGCCATATGAGCCCTCGCCCCACAGTACCCTCTTTCCTTACAGTAACCCTCTGCAGGCAGTTATTATCACCCGCCCGTTTCACGGATGGAGAAAATTAAGTTCATAAAGTGACTGCATATCTTCATGCAGGTAGTAACTGGCAGAACCACAATTCACACCAAGCCATGATTTTAATCCCTAATGCATACTCCACAATGCCCACATGGCCCACCTGTCCTCATGCCCCTCAGAGGCCTTCACACCAAGGCCAATCTCAGGGGAAACCACCAGATCTGTAACAGCCTCCTACAGAGGCAGCATGCTGTCCCGTTCCTGGTCCACCATAAGAGAGACAATATTTACAAGAGTGAACTCATTCACTCATTCATTCACTAACTCTGCCTCTAAAGGTACACATATAGTCCAAAGATCCCATCTCCTTTACTTCTTTTCTTTTATTCCCCATCATTGCAACACCATGTAAGAGGAAATATCTC